TAGGGTTTTGGGTTAAGGATGTAGGGTTGAGGGTGTACTATTTGGTCCTTTCCCAAAGAAGGGGACCCCAATATAGAACCCAAAATACTGTCATCGTCATTACGGGGACCCTCAAAATGGTACGCCTAATTTCAGGAAACCCCATTTAGGGGCCCTACGAGTTCTTACTGTCCCACATACCACTGAGGTCTACCAGGGTATCCCTACTCCGCTTGACAATTTCTCCATAGCTGGCGCTTGCTTGCTTCGCGCATGTCCGGATCCTTGGTCTAGAGACCCCTGAAAGCGCAAACCCGCACTTTTTGAGAAACCCCAATCTTCTTCTGAAGCGCTGTACAGGCTCCCCAAAAGTGACAACAGCTCAGGAGGTCAGACTACGTACAAGAATGCCTTCAATGGGTGCATGCAGGGTCCAACATATTTCGGTTATGTGTTTGTAGAGGTCATGGTTTCGGTGCTTGGGTCGATCCAGGCTGCGCAAAACCCAGACATGTACATCTTCCCAGTGTATGCTACAAGTATGCTTCAACTTCTTGAAGACTGCGGGGATTTCAGGGCTGGCTGGTGATTCTCGGATCTAGGTCTAACATGGACCCCGTAGACTCGACAAACTGAAGTCCGAGTCCTGGGTTTCAAGCCTACTGGGCTCAAAAGTCGCGTCCCACACCATGGGGCCCATGCAAACCCGCACACTTCTCATCCTCCTGCGGCTTCTAATTGGAATCAAGAAACAAGGAGGCATGCTATCATGACTTAGGTGATCTTTCTGGCGGAATACTGCTGGCCTTGGCTTGATATGACAGCAACTTCGCCCGGAAGCTGTCGGTTTTGGAGCCGCGTGGCAGGAATCATCACCCTCTGCTGTTTCACGTCTTGGTGTTTAAGGGTTGAGGACCCAAGGATTTCGGGTATCACTTTGGGCAGTAGCTTTCATCTGCAGAAAGACCTCCTGGGAATGGTATGGCTTACGCAAAGGAAGGATGTGGTAGGGACGAAAAAAAGTCAGGTGTAGAGTGTAGATTCTTCCTCCGTAAATGCCGCATGAGAAATCTGACTGGAGTCTCGGTCCAGTGTGATCAGTGAGTAGCGCTTTCTGGCGGTTGAACCAAGGAAGATCCTATCATACTTGCAAGCTGCTATACTTCAAGACTCTCTATTTCGGACTGTAGGATCTCAAATACGACGCTGCTCCAGTGCTTCAACGCCTAAGGCCTGCAGTTTTCTTGGCAATTGCACAGACTTCGAACCTCGAAGCACAGGTGCAAGACAAAATCCGAACCCCAACCTCCAAAACCCAGACCTGAAACTGTCAAATAACATCATACTATCCCTGAACTCCAAACGCTTAAATCCTCAACCCCAAGCCATCAACTCAAAAATTCTTAGTAGTCCCAGGGTCGGCTCCGCACTAGACTCATACCTGACACGGAGGAGAACAGTCTACATCACAAGCCACAAGTTGGGAGCAGATTGATTCAGGTTTACAGTTTTAAAGGGAGATATAAGGGTTATATTGGGGTTATATTGGGATGGGGTTCAGGGTTTAGGGATGAGGCTTGAGAGTTTAGCATTTAGAGTTTAGGGTTGAGCGTTTAAGGTTTGGTCTGGGCTTTTGGGTAGGCTGCATAATTAGGGAGTATATGGGGGCATTTTACAAGCACATAACCATCCGTGTAGAGTGTCCCCGGTGAGGGGGTATGCATGAGATCCCTCTTCACGGATGCTTTCCGAGTTCTATTTAGGATGTTTTTTCGAAAGCCAGCGTGATATTCAATAATCACTTTCAATTCGGGGGCTCACGGGTCCTGAACTGGCTAGAACTTGCTGGTTTTCGTCGGCTGGGAAGCCGTACCGGTGCCCTGCACTAGGACGATGCCAAGTGCAGGTCAGGTAACTCTGTGAGAACGATTGCTCCTGGTTACTGGTTGCAATACGAAATACCGACAAAGGGTTAGCAAATGGTGTGGCCTTCTGGCAGGACCAAGCTTCTTGTTGCAGGGTCTGAGCAAAGAAGGTTTGGTTTCGGGGGTTTAGGGAGTTGATGCGGATCTTTGCTCAGGGCTCCAAAGGCGAAGCGCTTTAGCATTGCAATGAAGATGTGCCTAGCTTTCCCGTGACCGAACAGCAGAAGTTGCAGAGAAAATGTTGCGTCAAACCACGCACACCTCACCAATTTGAGGCTGGTCACGTCCGTAAAAAGCCTGCCATGGACATGTCACTCAGTTTCTTACCTTTGGTTAGCCAGGAATGAAGGAATGGATCTTGTAGCCCCTATGTAACTCAGTGTTGTAGTTTCCGTGTTCTTTTGCGTTCCCTCTTTCCCAGCTAACCGAAGGCCAGTGAGGAAGGCCATGCAGCCCTGCAGCCTACACACCTGCGCCTACGTTGTCCCCTGAACCTTACATCTTAAACCCTAAACCCTAGACCCCAAACCCTAAATCCTAAACTCCCAATACCCTTGACCCTAAATCCTAAACCCTAAACCCTGAATCCTAAACCTGAAAGGCTTAACACTTAACCCCAAACCTTCTTCTATCAGCCCGAGCCTTGTCTGCTCACGCCACGAGGGTATCATGAAATTGGAGTATCCCCTCTGTCGTGCGTCCCCCGTACATAAGAACTATAGTCTAAACTCCCAGTATCCCCCTCAATAACCCCAATAATAGTCCCCTGTATTATCCGCTACACAACCCCCTGTAAGGAGTTTAGACTATATACTATAGCTCATATAGCTTCAAAATCTGTACTCCAGGTTGAAATAATCGCGTTGTAATCCCCACATGTCCGTGACCCCTGAGGCCACCTCTAATTGTTCATATTGCACTGTCAGGATCTACGAGAGGGGCCTCAATCAACTATAATTTCATGAAGGTCCGAATGCTTGTAGGGGGCTCTGGCTCTTTCTGATGTCCTGGTGATGGTACACATTGAAAGGTCTATCATGGCTCAGATGGTCAGACGCCAAGGTAGCAGGAGTTCTGGCAGAGCGCTTTCCTACGAAGACCTGGGAAATAAGTTCTCAAGTCCATCCTGACTGAAGGGATGCTCAGCTGAACACCCACATGTCTCGCTTTAGCACATAATCATGAACCAGGGTGTATCTTCTGCATGCCATTGCTGCCGAGCATCTTATTGAGAGCCTGCGGGAAACGATCAGAAGCAAACAAATGTAATGCAAAAGTGTGCATGGCGCTGGGAATGGTAAAGCAGCTCGTGCTCTCTGCCGTAGTTGTCGTTATCGCCGTCGTTGGTGTAATAGTCGTCGTCTTATAGGTACTAATGGTAGTGGTATTGTAGTACTGGTGATGGTAATGGTAGTGGCAGTGGTAGT